TAGAAGTGAGGAACACTTCCTATTCATCACAGGAAAAATCCATCAAGATGAATACTCAATTCTGAATATCTATGCCCCAAATACAAGGAAACCCACATTTGTAAAACAAACATTACTAAATCTTAAATCACATATCAAGCCCCACACGCTAATAGTGGGAGACTTCAACACCCAACTTTCACTACTGGACAAGTCTGCCAGACACAAACAGAGAAATAGGCGAACTAACAGATGTTAGGACTCAAATGGGCTTAATAGACATCTATTCAACATTCCACTCAAACAGAAAAGAATATACTCTCTTCACAGCACCTCACTGAACCTTCTCTAAAATTGAACATATACTCAATAGCAAAGTAAACTTTAACAGATACAAAAGAATGGAATAATCCCCTGTACCTTATCAGCACACCATGGCTTAAAGTTAGACTTCAACAATAACACTAAATGCAGAAAGCCCTCAAAAGCATGGAAATTGAACAGTGCAAAATGAATCAACACAGGGTCAAGGAAGAAATATATTACAGTCTTCCTAAATTGAATGGAAATGACAGTACAACAAACCTAGACTTACAGGACACAATGAAAGCAGTGCTAAGAGGAAAGTTAATAGTACTATGTGCCTACATAAAGAAGCTGGAGAAATCCAACACTAGCAAATTCACAGAATACCTGAAATCTCTAGAACAAAAAAAAAAAAGAAAACTCAGAAGGAGTAGACAGCAGGAAATAATCAAATTGAGGGCTGAAACCAATAAAATAGAAACAAAGAAAGCAATACAAAGAATCAATGAGACAAATTTGGTTCTTCAAGAAAAAAGATAGACAAACCTTTATCCAAACTAATAAAAACACAGAGAGAGAATATCCAAATTTACAATATCCAAAATTAAAAAGGACATAACAAAAAACAATGTGGAAACCTAGATATTCAACAGGTCATAATTCCAAACACCTGTACTCAACTAAATTGGAAAACTAAAGGAAATGGACAGTTTTCTGTATAAGCTCCACATACCAAAATTAAATAAAAACCAGATAAATGAGTTAAATAAATCTATAACCACTAAGGAAATAGAACGAGTCCTCAAAAGTGTCCCAACCAAAAAAGTACAGGGCCACATTTTTTCACTGCATAATTTCAAAGAAGAGATAATACCAATATTTCTCAAATTGCTCCACATAACAGAAACAGAAGGAACACTGCTGAACTCTTTTTAGGAGGCTACAGTTACCCTGATACCCAAACTTCAGAAAGATGCAACTAAGAAAGAGAATTACAGACCAGTCTCCCTCATGAATTTTGATGCAAAAATGCTTAACAAAAATCTGGCAAATCAAATCCAACAACACATGAGAAAAATCATCTGCCATGATCAACTAGGCTTCACCATATGGGGGGATGGTTAAACATATGAAAATCCATCAATGTAATATATCCTATAAACAAACTGAAAGAAAAAGAGACATAGGATCATCTAATTAAGTAAAAGGCAGTTTGGCAAAATACAACATCCTTTATGATAAAAATTGGACAGATGAGGGATACAAGGATAATACCTAACTGTCATAAAGGCAATATACAGCAAGATAACAGCCAACATTCCAACTAAATAGAAACACAAGGCCATTCTACTAAAATCAGGAACAAGACAAAGCTATCCACTCTCTCCATATCTATTCAATACAGTACTCAAAGTTCTAGCTAGAGCAATAAGACAACAAAAGGGGATCAAGGAGGTACTAATGGGAAACTTTTGATATTTGTTGTAGGAATGCCTACAGCTGACAAACACCTTCAGTAATTTGGCAGGATACAAGATTAACTCAAATCAATTAGTAACCCTCCTATATACAGATAAAAAATGATCTAAGAAAGAAATCAGAGAAACATCACCTTCACTACGGACACAAACAAAATGAAACATCTTGGGGTTACTCTAAACAAACTGAAAGACCTGTATGACAGGAACTTTAAGTCTATGGAGATGAAATTGAAGATGTCAGAAAAATGGGAAGATCAAGCATGCCCTTGGCTAGGTAGGATTAACATAGTAAAAATCATAACAAAATCAATCTACAGATTCAATGCAATCCCCAACAGAATCCCAGCACAATTCTTCACAGACCTTGAAAATAGAATACTCAACTTCATATGGAAAAAAAACAGGATATCCAAAACAATCTCTTACACTGAAAGAGCCTGGGAGGCATCAACATCCCTGACTTCAGGCTATATTATAGTGTTGTAGTAATGAAAATAGCTTACTATTGGCAAAAAACAGATGGAGGAATGGAATTGAATAGAAGATGCTGATATTAATCCACACATCAATGAATGCCGAAGTTTTGAAAAAGAAGCTACCATATATGAAATGGGGGAAAAAAGAATCTTCAACAAGTGGTGCAGGCATAACTGGATGTGAACACGTAGAAGAAGACAAATACATCCATACCTATTGCCACGTACAAAACTCATATCCAAATGGATCAAAGACTGCAGCATAAATCCAACCACACTGAACCTCATAGAAGAGAAAACAGGAAGTAGCCTTGAACACGTTAACACAAGAGACGATTTCCTAACTATACCACTAGTAGCACAGACACTGAGTACAACAAATAATAAATGGGACCTGCTGAAACTGAGAAGGATCTGTAAGGTAAAGAATTGATCAGCAAAACAAAATGTCAGCCTACAGAATAGGAAAAAGACTTTCACCATCTCCATATCAGACACAGGGCTAATCCCCAAAATATACAAAGAACTCAAGAAACTAGAAATCAGAGGACCAAAATAATTCAATTAAAATTTGGGCTAGAGATATAAACAGAGAACTCTCAACAGGGGAATCTGAAATGGCTGAAATACACTGAAGGAACTGATCAACATCCTTAGTCATCAGGGAAATGCAAACCAAAACTACCATGGCTAAGGTCAAAAACACTGATGACAGCTTATGCTGGAGAGGATGTAGAGTAACGCGAACATTCCTCCATTGCTATTGAGACTGCAAACTTGTACAGCTGATTTGGAAGTGAGTATGGCTGTTTCTCAGAAAATTGGGAATCAGTCTACCTCAAGACCCAGCAATACAACTTTTGGCCACATACAAAAAGACTGCACACTCACACCACAAGAACATTTGCTCAACTATGTTCATAGCAGCATTATTTGCACTAGCCAGATCCTTGAAACAATGTAGATGCCCTTAGATGCCACAGGAATGGATAAAGAAAATGTGGTACACTTACAGAATGGAGTATACTCACTGGTAAAGACAAAATGGCATCTTGATATTTTCAGGAAATGGAAGAAATGAAAAAAACCATACTGACTGAGGTAACCCAGATCCAGAAAGACAAATATGGTATGAATTAACTCATAAGTAGATATTAGACATAAAGCAAAGATCAACCAACCTACATTTCACAACCCCAGAGAAGCTAGGTAACAAAGAGGACCCTAAGATAGACATACATGGATCTACCTAGGAAGGGGAAATAGACAAGATCTCCTGAGGAAATTGAGAATGTGGTGGTGGTGGTGGTAGGAAGGGGAGAGCAGAGAAGGGAAGGGGAGTGAGGAGGAGAACATGAGGTAATGGGATAGTCAATATGGGGGGAAGAACAGAGAAGGTGAGAAAGAAAAGAAATACTTGGAAAGAGAGAGCCATTAAGGGATGGGCAAGAAACTTGGCACTCAGGAACTGCCCAAATCCCCAAGGATGACTCCATTCTAAACAATAGTGGAGAAGGTACCTGAACTGGCCTTCCCCTATAATCAGATTGAGGACTCTCTCAGTTGTCATCATAGAACATTCGTCCAGTAACTGAAGGAAGCAGATGCAGTGATCCACAACTAAGCACTGGCCCATGCTTCTGTAGACCAGTTAAAGAGAGGCAGGACTGACGATATGAGCAAAGCGGTCAAGAGAAGGATGGGGAAAACCAGAGACAGAGCAGACCAGAGCTAGCAGGAGCTCACTGTCTGCAGAGAGACAACTGGGAAACCTGCATAGGACCAAATTAGTCACACACCCCATCAATGCCATTGACAGTGGAGAGGCTTGTGTAGTGTGTGGTGCCAGTGACAGTGGGAATAGGATATATCCCTAGTGCATGAACTGGATCTTTGGAGCCCATTCCCTATGGAGAAATACCTTGCTCAGCCTAGACACATGGGTGAGGGTCTTGGTCCTGCCTCAACTTGGTGATGGCACAAACTTCTTTGGCTCCCCATGGGAGGCCTTACCCCGTTTGAGGAGAAGACGCCAGACGGGATAGGCAGAATAAGGGGAAAGCAGAAGGAGGGGAGAGGGGGAACTGGGATTGGTATGGAAACAAAGGATAAATGAAACAAAAACAAAAAACCCAAAAACCTCATTAAACAATGAATTTTATTTCCAACGTAACAAACATAACTCAGTGCTTTGGGGGTGGTGTGCTAGTAGAATTGATGGAGGTGGTCTTCTTTTCTCCTAGTGCAGGGCCATCTGCCTTGGCTTCTGATACTTGCCTAGTCCCAAGCTGCCTAGAGCAGAGACATTAAGTGACCCAGGTGCTAATAAAGCTAGGACCACCTTGTCAGCACACCACCTGCGTCTACTCAGCAGTAATAAACATCCCAAAGCATGGAATTCTGATCCTAGCATCCAGAGAGGACTGCCCTAGTGTTCTCAGCAGTATCACCCTGTCTCACTTCCTGGTCTTGCCCACCAGGATGCTCCTGCATGAAGGTCAGGACTACCAAAGGCTATGCAGCCCTTCAAATAAAGCGCTTCTTTATCACTATGCTTACATTGTGTGAGTGTGTGAGTGTGTGTGAGTGTGTGTGTGTAGACACATTCACATGTAATATATTTACAATTGTGTGCTTGTGCATCCGTGTCCTTGTATATATCCATGTGTGTGCTCTAACTTTTAAGTATGTAGCACATGTATTCCCTCAAATGTTAACTCACAGATATGTACACCTTGTGTTTTGGACACAGGCTCTCTCAAGTCCAGCAAGGTTGAAGCACCTGCAGTCAAGTGTGGTCGTGTTTGTGGTGGTGCACGCCTCTGATCCCAGCACTTGGGAGACAGAAGCAGGCAACTGTCTGTGAGACAAAGGCCAGTCTGCTCTAGAGAGACAGGGAAGGACAGAGAAACCCTGTCTCAGAAACATAATAAAACAAAACAAAGACAACACAAAAGGTACATGCACGTCCCTCCATCTCCAAGTTCTGGGATAACAAGCCTCAGCCAGCCAGCTGGTTTTCCCTGGCACTCTGGGTCATGACCTCATATCTCACAATGAAAGCAGGCACTGTATGGACAGACAGGCACCGTCCCAGCCCTCTTGTGCTTCTGAATCTCACCCAGGTATGGATTTCACAGTCTTGACTCACAACCCAGTCATCTCTATTGTGGAGGGCATGTCCAGGAGCAGCAGTGTGTCTATGAAATTGGTTCAGGGACATCAGGACAGCCCAGCTCTGAAAGATATTTTGTTTTTTATCAAAAATGGAAAAAACAAATGAAAGAAGGAGTATAAAAGCATGTTAGATGGGTTTAGCAAGGCAAGCCTCCCTCCACCTCAGTCTGAAACCCATCTAACAACCACAATTGTGTCCTGAGTTGAAGCAGAGACTGCAGCAATTCAGGTGCACTAACTGGGAACAGGTATAGAATGGCCACAAGGGGGCAGCAAAACATCAGAGGGTCTCACAGCTTCAAGAGATTGCTGCATTCTGCCTTTCTTATTGTCCCAGTACTAAGTCTCCATGCCCTCCATTCCTCCCTTTCCCCTCCTCCCACATGATCAATAGGAAGCACTTACTGAACAGCTCCTCAGTACACTGCACAAGAGATGACTCAATGCTCAGCCAATTCCAGATGTGAATCACAGGAAATATTCACTACACATCTGGATGCTGTTTTCATCTCTCCATGGGAAAGGCATTGTGATTCTCGAGGAATATGAGGTTGTGGTGGGCTTCCATGGCATTCTTTTCTCAGATATGGGCATTAAGATTTGGGAGTAAGGATTGTTTATTTAAAATAGTGTCATTCCTCCTAGACTGGCCTCAAACTCTCTGCTTTGGAAGATGACCTTGACTGCCTGATCCTCTTGTTTCTACCCCCAATACCAGGCACACTCTACCTGGTTTTAATTTGTGCAGGGAAAGAACCGTGACCAAGAACCGCTGTGCACGCTGGACACACTGATCCCTAGTCCTCCTGTTCACATTCTGTTTTTAGAGAGAGATCTCACACTGCCACCAAAGCTAGACTACTGCTCCTTATATAGCCCAGGCTGGCCTTGAGTCTATGGCAAGTCTCCAATCTAAGCCTCCAGAGTCCTGGGATTATTGGCATACACCTTCACCTTGGATCTGCCATCTAGTCTTAAGAGAAATCCACAAAGTGCCTAGAAAGGGCAAATGGAAGGGAATGAGACCCCAGGGGTGAGGGGGCTGAACCTTCAAGCCATGGGTTTGAGGCTCCATCTTCCAACTGTCATCAGCTGCTGCTGTGGACATGCAATGAGGAGGCTTCTGCCTTCCATTCTGTCCCACGGAGCTGCGTAGAGAGTTAGATGAGACCAGCCTGAGGACTGCTAATCAGAACGGGGCTTTGAAAATAACTGGCTACACAGGTGATGACCTGGGCTGCTGCACACTGACCTGAGTGTCCTTGACATGGCATGGGATGGGGACAGCTTCCTTTACCTCCCTCCCAGCCAGGTCACAACTCACCAGCTTCAGAAGAAAAGTGGTGTCTGGCCACAGCTCGTGTTTGTGGTCCTTCAGAAGACTCTCAGTAGAAAGACAGGTCATCTAGAAATGGTAAAAGAGAAAAGGCCTGGTCAATCATGCAGATCTCTAATAGGGATAGGGATGATCCAGAGCTCCAGGTCTTCCTCAGCTACACAGTGAATCCCAGGCTTGGCTGAGATACAGGTATGACTCCGTTGGGACAGCTCTTGCCTAGGATATAGGGAACCTTGGGTTTTGTCTCCAGGACAAAATAAACTAGACTTGGTAAAGAATTACTGAAATCCCTGCTTTTGGTACATGGAGATAGAAAGATTAAAAATTTAAGGATATCCACACCTACATGAATCATTTAAAAACAAAACCACAAAACCCAATAGGGTTAGATGCTCACCTGTAGCCCCAACACTCAGTTGGGGGTAGGAGAGTCACCAGTCTTGGCAGCCTGTACTGCATACAGAAAACCTGTGTCAAAATAAGAGGAGGGAGGGAAAAGGGTTTCTCATTTGAGGGGACTGAGAGTTACATCACTGTGGGGTTCAAGAGTCAGGAATTTTGGAAATGAGAATAAAATACCATGGATATAGGGTCTAGACTGTATTGAGGAACAACAGGTAAGGCAGGATTGGAGAACTTACATAATGAGTATGTATGTATGTTTGTATGACACATCCATGACCACAGGGGTGTATGTGTGTGTGTGGTCGTGTCTATCTGTTCTCACACTTTGAGCACATGTGTAGACCAGGAATATTCATCCAGTGATTTTATACCTTAATTCATTTGTTTGTTTTTTGAGACATACCTGAATATACCTGGCTGTGCTTGAACTCTCTCTGTAGGGCAGTTTGCAGACCAGACCAGAACTCAGAAATCAGGCTGCTCTCCCCCAGTCCTGGGTTAAAGGGGGGGTCCACGACCATGGACATCCACCTTACTTTTCAAATGAGGTGTCTCACTGATCTCAGGCCAGCAAGCTGCCATTCCTGCCTCTCTCCTCCACCAGGCCTGAGATGAGACAAGGATGCTGCCACAGCCTGGTTTCAGTCTTTGCATTCACACAGCTCCAAGCATCAGTGTTCTCATCTCAGAGTTCAAATAATCAGAACGTGCATGTTCTTTATGACGGTTACATTCAGCCTGGAACTCCCTACACTGACCCTGAGCTGTTCCTCCTGAGCAGGGCAGAGGGGTTCAGACCCAGAAATTCTGCCTTGGGGAATTGCACAAGAAGACAAAGATCCTGCTCCAGGTCTGGGACAGATGAGACCTTGACTAAAACACAAATTCTAGCAGTGTTCCAGTGCACCTAAGGAGGAACAGAGTCAGCAGCACCACAGGGAAATAAAGCCAGCATGGACGACACACAGTGTTCAGTCAACCCGAGTTACAGGGCAAAACTCTGTGAACACTAAAACCAACAAAGGAAAAGACTTGGTGGCGATCCTATTCCTACCAACCAATGTGGACAGAAACAAATGTCAGAAAATAAAATGGAAGTGTTCATGTGACATCTTAACACAGCTGTCAGGGAATGAAAGCCAATTTCCATCTTGGGTTGTACAGTAGAGATTGTCACACAGAAGAAAATGTGGCCTTTAAGAAAAAGCTTCATAGACTGAGTTCATGCTTTTCCTTGATCATGTGAGAAAACACACCAATTCTAATTAGAACACAGCCCTGTTATACACTCAGCCCCCAGGCACTTGATCTTATCTTGTGAATGTCCAGATACACAAGGAAGCAATTTCTGTTGTTTTAAGTGACAAAACAAAGGAATTTTGTTTAAGAGAGGAAGAAACATCTTCCACATGTTGTCTTAGGGTTCTGGCAGACGAATATTTTCTTGACCATTTGGAATATCAATCTACTGCCTCTGGGATTCTGGGCTTTGGTGAGAAGTTTCAGGCCTAGTGGGTATCATGTGTTGAATGACGTCATCTTTAACCCTCACAGGTGCCCTGGGGTTCGAAGGAACACAACATTTTGTCACAACATCCCGATGTAGTCAGAGGCTGCCTATTCTCTGAATGAATTCTCCTGAGCCATCTCCCCACATGGATACTCTGGGTTTTCAAGTGTCTGTTGTCTTGGCAACTGCTCTTGAATCTGGTTTTACTAGAACCTCACCTCTGTCAGTGTTGGGTGCAGAAAGAGGATCATGATCCTCCCCAATGAGTGGCTCTTAGCTTCTGTGACCTTTGTTTTATTCTCTGAGTTTCCGGACAGTTCCTGCATACCCTATTGGTGTCATATTCTGCAGTCCACTGCTGTGGAAGATGCTTTCTTCTCTTCCTGAGAATTAAGTACCTGCTTAGGCTGTCTGCACTGTCTCTGAGTGTCTTCCTTTAGGACATAGGAATGTATATCTATGCACATTCTCCTGGGCCTGATTTGAACAGTTTCTTTAAACTTCCCCCTTGTGAATTCGGTTCTAGACATATCACCAAGGACCCGACAATGGATCAGGGCAGGGAGGCCTGCTACTCCTCTGAGGAGTCTTTCATGGCTGACTATAAGATGATGATGACCCTGGGCCAGGGAAAATTTTCCAAGGTGAAACTGGCCTTCCACATTCCTGCTGTAACCTGTGTGGCTGTAAAAGTTATTAGAAATTAGAAGAAGCATGCCTTGCTTGTTGCCAGTGAAGTTAACATCATGAAATCTCTGAAACACCCGAACATCATTAAATTGTTTGATATGTTCCAATCAAAAATACCACCTTCTTAGTGATGGAGCACGCATCAGAGGGAGATCTTTTTTGACACATTCTGGAAATGGGGTCCTTACAGGAGAGCGAGGCGTGGAGGCTATTTACCCAGATTCTCCTTGGAGTGCAGTACTGCCATAACAACCATATTGCCCATAGGGACATTAAGGCCAATAATATACTACTCGGCAGCATGGGCAAAGCCAAACTTTGTGATTTTTGCCTTGCTGCCAAAGTGGTCCCAGGGCACATGCTGAAAGCTTTCTGTGGTACTCCGTACTACAGTACCCCAGAACTCTTTTTAGGAGAAGCCTATGATGGGTTTGCCGCTGATATGTGGAGTTTAGGTGTGCTCCTCTTCCTCATGGTAGTTGGGCCCTTTCCCTTCCAGGCCAGCTGTTCTGAAGGCGTGACACATCAGATCCTTGACTCAAACTACAGCATACCTCAGCACATTTCCACCGATATTTCCATAATCATTGCCTGACTTCTTATGATCAACCCAGGCAGGAGGCCCACCATTGACCAAATCATGAGGCGCCCCATGATAAGGGACAGCAAGGCTCGTTTGCCACCTTCTTCCACACAGAAACCCCCAGGCGCCCTGAGCCCAAGCATTGTCAACTCCATGATGGTCATGGGGTATAAGTCTGAGGAAATCATTGATTCTCTGAGAGACCAAAACTACAACCAGGTGATGTCCACTTCCCTGATTCTCCAACACCAGTCTCCTGGGGGAGACTGCTGCCATCACCAGGTGAAATCCATGCAGCCAGACCTTGTCCTCAACCTGGGTGATCTTCACACCTTCCCTGTGCCCCTAAGGCGAGCTAGCGAGCCTGCTCCCCTGACCTTCACCTTGTCATCCAATCCCCAGGAGAGAGAGCATGAGAAGAATGCCAGGCACAAGGCATAGCATGTCTGTCACCCTGTGCCACCACTCAGAGAGGACCTGACCTCCCCACCTAGTCTACCTGAACAGGCATTGTGCTCTTTTCCTCATGTGCAGTAGCGAGGAAATGAGCGAGAATTTCTCTGAGTTGATGATTGGGAAAAGTGGCAGCCTGATGGCCAGTGTCCACCCATCATCACTCTTAATGTACACTGCTTCTTCTAGTCCAGAGCACAATGAGACCACACGTGACACAGGCAACAGAGCTTCCTGCAGTTACCAAGAGGAATTCTGGAGCTCAGTGGAGATAGTTCAGAGTGTAACTTTCAGAGGCTCCTCCTCTGGGGATACAAGGCAGGTAGACACCATGACACAAGAAGAAGACATTAGTGAGGAAGTGAACATCACACAGGAAGAGGCCATGAATGAGGAAGGTACCATCACAAAGAAGCAACCATAACCCAGGAAGAGGACATCACACTTGAAGTGACCAATACTCAGGATGAGACCATCACAGAAGAAATGACCATGACTCACATTGAGGCCATCACAGAGGAAGAGACCATAATGCAAGCACAAGGACATCCTTCAGGAAGCCACCATCACCCTGGAAGTGAGGAGGACCCAGGCAGCGACCATGACTCAGGATGACACCATCACAGAGGAGAATGCCATCACCCATGGCCAGCCTGAGGTTGCCGGCCCAGCTTCCTCCCAAAGCCATAGGCGCCACAGCTGGAAGGGGGTCAAGAAAGCAATGGTGAACTGCCTCAGACACCTGTGCTGCTGCCTGGGCCCTGCCAAGAGAAGCCACGACTCCTGTGAGAACCTGGCTCCAAGGAAACAGGATCGTGGAGTCACCCACAGAACCACGTGGGGACACTTACTTCATTTTACTCATACTTTTCCTCCTGTCCTTTGTGACAGAGGGTGACTGTGCACTGTTGGGGAAGTCTTAAGCCAATATAGCACTGTCTGGCCAATAGGGAATCTAGATAGGAGGGACTAGGAGTCCAGGAGGATTCTGGGAAGGAGAAACACAGAGAGTCGAGATGTAACGCCATTGGGGTAGGAAGCCCGGAAACCTCTCCGGTAAGAGACATACTTAGATTAACAATTATGGGGTAATTACTTAAGTCAGAGCTAGCCAGTAAGAAACAAGCAAGGCCAACAGCTTCATAATTAATACAGCGTCTTGTGTGTTATTTGGGGACTACAAAGCAGCAGAGCCCAGGCAACTGGCGGGAGATAAACCAAAGCGGCTAGCAAAGAAAAAGCTTCCCTTAACAAAATGGTGTCAATTTCCACGCAAAATAACAAGATTTAAAGGAATTTTAGAAACAGAAGAACAGAGAGAAGCACAGATTTTGGTAGCAACATTTTTCTCAGGTGTGCTCTGTTTTGCTAGCCACAAGCTGAGATTCACGCGGCTGGCTTACGGGAGTCTTCCTGACTCTGCATAAAACAAAACAAAACAAAAAAACAGCCAGCAAGGTTGTTTTAAGAGACTCTGCTAACGATTAAAAGGGGTGTACATACAGCTGGAAGTGGCAGCTTTTGCTGGATGTCAGCATGGACTGAGGCGGTAAACTGGAATCACGCTTATGCCCGCCATCTTGAAATGGCAGTTTAAAACAGCCGCGGTTTTACAGATAAGACACGTGGCCAGAAAAACATAGAGCTTTACAGTAAAGTCAGACTTGGATGAACAAAACCTCTAAAGGTTTACAGTGTGTTTAAAAATATACGTGAGATTGAGACAGAAAATGAAACGACAAAGTGGTATATAAATACAAAAGCCGGCGTTGTGGTGGCGCACGCCGGTAGGATTTACTCCAGAGGCAGAGGCAGGCAGATTTCCAAAGAGAAATCCTGTCTCAAAGAAAAATAAATAAAAGTGAAAGAAATAAAGTAATAATAAATAAATAAGCCACGT